AAATGTGGCCATGTATGCTTTTGAAAGATTTCAGTCTCACATCTTTGTCTCCGCCATAGACAAGTCTAGCGAACCCAAGACGGTTTTGTTTGATTTACTAATTCAGGTTTTGGCTCAGTACAGACTCAGAACCCGGGCTGAGTTTAGGCGACTCCCGAGCCCAGTAGGCGCTTCAAGCTAAAGCCACTGTGCGGCAGTCAATAGGACCCAGTTAGACAGCCAGTGGGAGGTCACGGGCCTCCTGGACGCGTGGGGTAGAATTCTCCACCCGGAGCTTTATCTAAGGCTGGAGCTCGTTCCCCCAGACCGGCGGACCCCATGTGCGCCCTCGGCTGCGTGGGGGAGGGCCCGGCGTCTGGGCCGCAGCTGCAGGGTCGGGAGCTCCTCTCCGACTTGGCTTCTTTTAGAAAACTCTTTTCTTGTCGGATGTGGTTTCCCTTTAATTAATCACTCATGCCCACGTGTCCGCCGCGCCGCTTCCCCACTCATCCTCCAGCCCCACATATGATCTGTATTTGGAAGCCCGAGCGCTGGCGGAGCAGCTGGGGACGGCGCGGGGCTGCTGGATGGCACCGGGAGCCGCGGGCGGCGCTGCCCGGCGAGATCGGCCTCTGGGAGCGCCGCGGCCTCCTTCCCGAGCTCCGGCCCGGCGGCCGCCCCGGTTACGAGGCCCCGCAGTCCCCGGCGGGCGGCGGCCTGGGTGGTCCAGGTGTTAGGGTGGTCCGCCGGACCTGTTTCCTCCCTTCTCCGCCCCGCCCTCCTCGGCCGCCGGCACCCCGCGGGCGGGAGGCAGCAGCGGCCCCCTTTCTCCCCGCCATCCTCCTCAGGTCTCTCCGGGCCTCGCTTGGTGTCGCCCCACACTCTGGCTTCCGGGACAAAGCAGGCCAGAGAGTGCGGCCCGAGCCCGGAGGCCTGGAGGCCCTCTCCAGAGCGCCGGCCCCGTGGGCCACAGTGCGCCACCTCGGGATTGCGTGGCGAGGCCAGAAACTGCGGGGACGTGAGGCCCGGCTCCCTAGTTGGGGTCAGTGCTCCGGTCACTTCGCAGTCGCGAAGGGAAGCTTCCTCGGCGGGCCTCCACGGCCGCAGCCGGATGTGGCTGCCCCCCCTGGCGCTCGGGTGGCGCATGTGTGGCGCAGGCCGCCCCACGCCGAGCCAGGTGGGACCTCGTGTTCCCAAAGCGCGCGCACGGGCGGGGTGTGTGGAAGTGTGCGGCGTCAGGACCGGAGCTCCGCGGGTCCCAGGCCTTCGCCGGCTCGGCTCGCAGGGGCCCGGGGCCCGGTCACGTCGCGCTCCGCTTGGGCGCGGCCTCGCCGCCTCCCCGCGCACACGGGCCTCGGCCGCGGCGCCTTCCCGGGCGCGGGCGCGGGCGCAGACGCAGCGCACACTTGGCTTCCGAGTGCGCGGGGCCGCCGCGGACCCCGCTGCTCCCGGCCCACCCGCGGCCGGCTTCGGCCGCGTTCCCAGCAGCCCGGAGCGCTTCCTCCCTCGGTCACGGATCCAGGCCGCCGGTCCAGCTGTCAAAACAGGGGGTGTCTCTTTCATTCTGGCTCACAAAGTCCCAAAGGGGAACGGGGGCCTTAATGCTTGTGTTTGGACACAAGCAATTATCCCTAATTATTCTTTTACTTTTGAGCCTGCCCGTCCCGCCGGCGAGCCCGCCGCGGAACAGGCCCCTAATCCTCCCCGGTCGGCGGATCTCAGTGGGTTCTGTGCGGCCCGAGGCTCGGGCCCTTTCATGTCACTGCGGGTTTAGAGCTGATTCAAACTCATTGCGATGGGGGAATTAACCCCGAGGCCCGGGCTTTCAGGGGCCTCTGATAAGAGATTATACGTGTTGATGGCAAGCTTTTCTTGGCAAAATGTTTTCAAAGGGCTTGGAGTTGTTAAATCAAAGCGCCATTGAATTGCTGGGGACCACCCTTCCCCCTCTCTCCATCTCTTTCCCCTTTATCCCTCCGCCCCCATCGCCCAAGACTGCACTCCGAGAGCGGCCTGGCCTCCCTGGAGCTGCAAATCACTTTCCTAGGTCAGATTTACCCCCGTGCCCCGGCCCTCGAGGACTGGTTTTGTAGGTGCTCCCGTTTCTGGGCACCTTGGTGCCCTTTCCCCAGCCTAGTGTCTCACATACGTTTTCTGGCGAGAAAACGGGTTCCAGATGAAAGCCTTTACATCCCCTCACTCACATGTGGTTTGTAGCAAACGGACGTGGTGGGGTAGGATAACTAGGAGAAAAGGAGGGCGATTTTCTTTCCTCTCCACCTCGGAGAGGTCAGGAGGGGTAGGAGGAGCCATAGGGTTAACAGTGTTGTAGGCAGAGTTCAGATGTCCTAGAATCTCACAGCTTTGCCCTGGGGGTGATGGGGGCCCTCCAAAGACAGAAAGCAAGTGTTGGGAAGATTTGCTTGGATGTAGATTTTTGGTTGTAGGTTTTATTTTATTTTATTTTGTACTGGGGCTCAAACTCAGGACCTTGCGCTTACCAGGCAAGCACTTGAACCACTGAGCTAACTCCCCAGCTAGAATTTTTTTAGTGCCAGGAATTAAGTCTAGCTTTATAAACTGCAAGAGTGTTGGACAGTCTGCAGAACCCTGCTTGAGTGCGGTGAGCAAAGGCTAAAAAACTTTAAGGGCTAGAAAAAAAACCTGTCTAATATGCAAAGCAAATCACAGCACTGTTCTGTCCTCTTCTCCCCCACATGTATCCCACAGGATCCCACCACACTATACTGGTCAGTTTCACAAGGAGGCTTCTTGTCTTTCCAGACCTTCATGCTCTTCCATGTGGCTGATCTGACTTCCCCATGGGAAGTGGCACAGAAGTGCAGTGGTATCCTGTTCTTTGGCAAGTGGCTAGGCCCTGTTGGGAATGCACTGGTTATTGAAAGAGCTAACTTCCTAATTGTAACTGGACCCCTGGGCCATGCCATCTGCTGCCTAGGTTTACTATAATCCTGGGTCTCTAAGGCCTCTAGACCATCCTGAATCTAGCCCTCTGAAACCCAGATAGCCTGCTGGCCAATCTGCCCTACAACAAAACTCATTGCCAAGTTGACACTTTTCTTGTCTCCTGGCTTCCTAAAAGTTATTCTGATCTCTATTTTTCTGCCCCCCCCCCCCTTTTTTTAGTAGTTAATGAGCTATGATCGGCCTTTTAGGAAGCAAAATCAGCTGTGACTTCTTGCTTTACATTGGTGTGAAACCTTTAGCTTTGTGTCTCCTGGTAGCTGACTGGTAAGTAGCAGCAGCTTCTTCTAATTCCCATTCTTCTCCCTCTCCTTTTCTCTTATTTTTAAGGGACACACAGATATTTTGTTAATCTTAATCTATGTCATTGGTGATATTTTATAAAACTTTTTGAGTCTCATAGGTAATGAGAACAAAAGAAGATAAATAGGATCACATTCAGTAGAAAGGGAACTTCCGCACAGCAAAGGAAACAAGTTGTTACTAACAGAGTGGCAGGATGACAACCTGATTGTGAGAAAATTTTTTGGTCATACATGAGATAAGGGATAAGAATAAAAAATGTGTAAGGAATGGAAAGTACTCAAAAATAAGAAAACAGCCCAATTAAAAATGGGCAAAGGACATTTTCCCAAAGAAGACCTGCAGATCAATGGCCAACAGACATGTGAGAGAACTGTTACATTGGCTAATGTCAAGAAGTTGAAAGATAAGGAGTATGATGAGCCTTCTGCCCTGAGGGCTTGTGAGGCATGCAAGGGGAAAACACACTCCCTTACCTGAAAGGCTAAGTGATTCAGAAACCAGTTAAGGGGTTGCTGCAAGGGTTGAGGCAAGAGGCGGAAGCTTAGAGCAGGCCACAGATCAGGGTGGTCAAGTTCAGGTGTATTTTGAGAGTTCAGCTAACAGGATTTCCTGATGGAAGGGATGTGGAAGGTAGGAGAAAAAGAGTTCTAGACCACAAGGCTTAGAAAGATGGTACTGCTGTCAACTGGGATGGGAAAGTCGGTGGGAAAGGTGTGAGCTCAGCTGGGGATACGCTCAATTGAGGTTTCTATGGGCTCCCATGTGGAAAGGACTATTTGGCAGCTGGGCCAGAGGGGACACAGAAATCGGGCAATTATTGTCTACTGAAGAGTGAGGCGCTCTCCAATATTGAGATGTCACGGAGAGGATGAAACAGATAAAGAGACTAGAGTGACTGAATAGGAATCGAGGGGGTGCAATATCCTAGAAGCCAAGTGAAGAAAGAGGATCAGTGAGGATGGAGTGGTTGCTGCTTAAATGCTGCCAAGAAACCAAGAAGAAATCCACTGAAATAAATAATTTGGAGGGCCAGAAGAGGAAGTTTCAGCGGCATGGAGCAGGTAAAAACTTGATGGAAATCTCCAGAGAACTGGGAGGAAAGAAATTGGGTAAGTTTGGACAACTTTTTCCAAGCAATTTTGCTATAAAATTGGGCAGAGAAACTGGGTAGAACTGGTAAGAGACTGTGATCAATAAGCAAAGTAAGTCTCACACGGAAAGGTAAATACTATGATTCCTGCTGACATGGAAACTAAAAGTTGTTCTCATACAAGTGATGATTAAGAAATTAATTATCAAAAGCTAAAGGCGTGAAGGTGGGGTGCAGAGAGGACAGTTAATTGTAGGTAGGCACAGAGCACAGATGGATAAAAGGGATAATTTCGAATGCTCGCTAATACAGTGGGTTAACTATGGTTAACAACTCATTGTTTCAAAATAAGTGTTAAAGGAGATGTGAATGAATGTTCCCAAAGCAGAGAAGTGATGTTTGAGGTGATAGATGTGTCAGTTACCCTGATCTGATCATTATACAGGGTATGCATGGGTTAGAAACTTCACATTATACCTCACAAATATGTATAATTATTAGGTGTCAAATAAAAACTTTAAAAATAAAATGTTTAAAGGAGAAATTTTCTTTTAAGAAAGAAGAAAGTATGTTTATATGCTAATGGTAATAACCAAAAATTTGAGAAAATCAATGAGAGAGACAGACACAGAGACAAGAGAGACAGCGATGGAGAGAGATAGAGATGCAGAGGGACAGAGACAGAGAGAGACTGGAGAGGTGTTTTTTTTGTTTTTTGTTTTTTTTTACCAGTCCTTAGATAAATAAGGGGAAGTACTGTCTAATTCTGAAATGGAGAGATTGACCTCTGATGGAAATACGGTTGTTCATTAATTTATAGTAACTCTGAGTTAGACAATATGTGGACCTGTGTATTAGGAAGAGAGCAAGGAGAATAGAGGGAATCAGCAAATTGTCTTCTGATGGTTTTGATTTTCTCAGGTGGGAAGCAGGGCTTTTAGCAGTGAGGATGTATGCAGTGAGGATTTGTAGCAGAAGATGCTCTCCTCTACCCCAGTCAGTATATATCAGTCTGTGAGTTGCCCTGGTAACAGTTCCAAGTTCTTGTTACTTTTGTTTCTTAGAAAGGGCTGCTCACTATGATGCATATTATAAGAACCAGTCCCCAATCACAAGCCATTCTACCTCTGTACTTTCTGCTTCTTATCCCATATAAACCCTAGACCAACAGAGATCAGGGCCTGATATTTGGGAGAATGATCCTGATCAGTGCCTGGTGACATCAATAAATTTGCCTCCAAATCCAGGGTGTTGTTTTGCTGTTTCTGTTTACCATTGCAGATTCAAAGCATGAGGGCAAAGGAAAAGGTATGGAATAGCCATGCAGGAGACAAATGGAGTGGGAAATACAGTACGCCTGCCAGGGAGCATTAAGGACTCAGCTGAGCCTCTCGATCCTGAATTTAAAATGGAGCAGTGAGATTGTTTTGTATGTCTTTCTTCTGTGAGTTTGAAGTAGATGGAAAGTTGGATATAAATAGGATCATGGATTGGGCAAACTCACATGACTCAGTGAAAAAGGGATGAAGACATTGAAGAATTTCAGCTGGGAAAGGTAAAAAACGAGAAACCTGGGGCATAAGGGTGGTGGTGAGGATGTGGTTGAATGAATGAATTGGGGCAATTCAGTATACTAGAAAGAATGAACCAGACAGGCGTGAGTGGGTGAATCGTCACGTGAATTGAGGTGGGGGAGCATTCAGGAGTGAGTCCTAAAAGGAGGAAGACAAGATCACGGAGGACAGCAGCTAGGAACTTGGAAAGGGTGGCTCATGGGTCGGGCCCTCTCCTGTGCACTGCGGTCCCTGATAGTTAGGGTGGGCAGAGGTCAGAGAGAGAGATGGTGAGGCAGGAGGAGCCAGGAGCCAGGAAGTGAGAGGGAGGACCAGGAGCCAAAAGTCAGATAACTTGGGGTTGTTCTTTCCTTTCCAACTGTTTGTATAGTACTTGTAAGGCAAGTTCTTTTAAAGATTAGAAGATTCCAAATGAATAATTTCACTTTTTAAAGGTTAATAAGATATTTGCGTTCTAAAAACATTCATCTCTAGCTTGAACAATCTATATTTTCTTGAGATAGATGACTGTTGTGTTGTATTTTTGAATTTAGTGGCATAAACTTGTTAAAAATTATAATTTCAATACTATTTTCTTTAAATATCTTATCTTTATCCTCAATTTTTTATTTGTGGACTTTTTCCTTTTTGATCAATCTTAAAAGTTTGCACATTAGTTTTTTTCCAAAGCAACTTTTAGCTTTGATGATTCTAACTTTGACTTTCAAGCTGCTCTTGTGTTTTATTTTTATCTTTCTATTTTCTTTGTATTTACTCAAAGGTATAATACTGGTAAATTATCTCAAGCTCTGAGAAGGTCTTTATTTTCACCCTGACTTTTGACCTGACAGTTTAGCTGGATGTAGGATTTCAGTAGTAACAGACTGAGGATATTGTTCTTCTTCTCTTATGCTATTACAAAGTCTGCTAACAAAATCACCATTTTAAAAATAAAAATTTGAGATATTTTCTCTACCTCGAGTTTTTCTTCTTTCCCTGTGCTGTTTCTGGAGATGGCTTACTTTTGATTTATTTTTGTAATTTCTAATATAATTAGTGATTTTCATTACTTCTGAAAACTTTTCAGTTTTTTAAAAACAAAGAACTCTTCCTACTGAGGTATATTGCACATAAGATTCAACCATTCAAAACACTTGCTGTAATGGCTTTAGGATGCTCACAAAGTTGTATAACTATTGCCATCGATTATCTTTTTCTGGGTTTTGTAGTGCTGGGCTTGGAGCCCAAAGCCTCGGGTCTGTTGGCAAGTGTCACAGAGCTCCATCCCCAGCTCCATCTATCATCGTTTTCTTTTAAGGCAGGGTCTCATTAGGTAGTTCAGGCTTGTCTTGAACTCACTCTGTAGCCCAGGCTGGCCTTGAACCTGTGGCCATCTGCCTGATTCAGCCTTCCAAGTGCTAGGATTATAAGTGTATACCACCACGCCAGGCATGATTTTTTCAATATTGTTTTATATCATTAATTTTATTCTCTCTTTTTGACAGTCTTTTTAAACATGTGTTGAACTGTTGAAGTTTATAGAAGTCTAACACTTAACACCTTTTTTTCTTTATTTGAAGTCAAAATTAATTGAGAGTTACAGGAAAATTAAATTAAAATTTTAATTTAAGGCAATTAGACAGATGGAAATAAATAGAACAGCTTTCCTGCCAATAAACGCTGGATTCAAGGATGTGGCTTAGATGGGTGGCAACCACAGACCTCTTACAACTAAATCCCAGATCAGGATTACCGCAGTCTCCGCTGCAGGCAGCATGGCATGAGCGCATTCTCCCACATGGAGGGTGCTCCTGTGGAACGCGTGCACAGAGCTCCAGTCCAGAAAGCATGGTCCCTTTGGGCCAGGGTGAGGAGGCTCCCAGGAGAGGGGCAGCTGGGTGGGTCTGCTACACCCTGACTCATCGGGGAGAGAAGGCATTGGAAGAAGCTATCTGTTGTAGTCAGGGGTTGTGCAGAGAACAATTAGAATCAGGACATGGATTTTATAATATTATTTTTATAATGATCACTGGGAGTTAGCACAAGAAAATGCAGAAAATCTCACCAGAACACCAAAGACATAGAATATTTAGTCAAGGGCCTGAATCCTACAGCAATGTCCCACATGAGTCTAGATAAAAACCCAGAGCTCATGACAACACCTCCCACGAGTCCAACTGGAGGTCCACAACCCACAAGAAGAACTCATGCCAGTCTCTTTTACAGATCCATGCTGGGAAGGCCCAAAGGTCAGCGGTGGAAGACAGAAAGTCTATGTCAGCGGGGTGAAGGAGCTGTGCTGGTGGAATGGGGGTTCTATGCTGGAGCCAAGAAGTCACACTCACAGCAAAGACCAGGGCTGTCCTGAAAGGCACAACAGCCATCCTCAGTGACATGGAGGCCCCGAGCTCCTCTGACGACAAGCACAGTCGGGTACATGCCAGGAAGCCATCCTGAAGACCAAGTGGCACACATCTTCTCCTCCAGAGCCAGGAAGCAATGCTCGATGTGAGGACCAAAGCTTCTCCAAGAGAACTGATGGCTCAAACAGCAACTCGTAGGAGAACCCATAATGCTTTAACGCAACAACACATTAACGCCTCAACGCCTTAATCTTCTCTACCTATTTATGCTGGCAACTTTCCTCAGGTGGAGCATCTTTGCTCAATGCCATGCTGATGTAATCCAGCTGGCGTTAAGTTGACCACCAGTTATTAATCCATAACACTATCCCTATGGTATCCCCCTGCATGCAGGTACAGCTATGTAGAATACTTCGTGAAGCCAACACAATTTGGACACCAAACACAATAAGGATAAACAAACAAAAATGATGAAAAGTTTTGAGAGTGTAAGAACTGGGATGACTATGCGGCTCACTGATAACACATGTGGTCTAACACGTGAAGCCTGTCCCAGAATGGCAAACAAAAACAAAAACAGCAGGAACAAAATGAGGGGAACAGAGCTGAACCCTGCATGCTGAATATGAAAAACAATCACATGGAATATAGTTATCCATAAATTTAGGGCCATTACAGCCTTAAATACATACACTAAATATAGTGATATATATATATATTTTTTGTTTGTTTGTTTGTTTGTTTTTGTTTTGCTTTTGATGCTGCAGGTTGAATCCAGGGCCTTATGCATGCTGAGCATGCATTCAGTGATTGAGCTGCACCGTGGTAATTGAATTATTACTAAGGGTCACTAAGAGAGACTGTGATCATATTAACAGATAACTCAAGTAATAACACTAAAGGACAACTAAAGAAGTATATGTCCTTAAGCCAGTATCCAAAATTATATAAAGATACATTTGATACAGTCACTTGGAAATTTGGAACAATATTGGCCTCAAAGTATTATTTAAAAGTTTTTGAATAATAGATGTTGAGATACTTCAAATACTCAGAATGCCATTTTTGATTCTTTCTCGCTCTCTCTGTTTTGTTTTTTTTTGGTCTTTTTGAGATACAGCTTTGCTCTGCAGTTCAGGCTGGCCTTGAGCTCACTTTGTAGTCCAGTTTGGTTTGGACTCACAGCAACCCTCCTACCTCAGCCTCCTGAGTGCTGGGATTACAGGCCTCTGCCACTTTGCCCAGACAAAATATCATTTTTGATAGATGACTGTACATAAAAAAGACAAAGGAAATAACTAGAAACTGCTTTGAAGTGAAGAGTAATGTTGGTTATTCTAAAATTAAGGTGTAATTTTAAGAAATTGCAGTTTGAAGTTCAACAGTTTTCCTCAAAATCCTATGAGATTTTTAATAAAATTGATAAATAATCAAAATGGGTAGAAATATCAAATGTTATTTTGAAAAAGGAGATAAGGGGATCATCAGGTTTCAAAATATACTGTTGAAAACGACAATAATTAAAATACGATCCAATTATTATGGAAAGACTAAACATAGCATCTACTAAATACAGCAGAAGTCCGAGGAATAAATTTTACCGTATATCAGTGTAATATGTGATAGGGAAGTTATAACCAAAGAGTAGCATAACTGAATAAATCCTCTCAGGATGGCTGATCAGTCTATTGTGGAGGAATTTGTGTGTGTGTGTGTGCTCCCCCTGAACCCTTCCAGGTTAAGTGTAACTAAAGAATTAAGCTAAAACAACAACAGTAACAACACCACCACAGGGAAAAAACCCAAAGTGTGAATGAATATTTCTTACCCCTTGGAAAAGAACAACATTGGCTGTTTTGGAGTACCAGAAAGAAACAATGAGATTTATGCCTACTAAGTGCTTTGTACTTCTGTACAAAATTAATTAAAATAAGGAGACATGGAGAAATATATTTGTAATAAGAGTAGGCATAGTCATTCCCCAACTAGAAAGAGTTAATACATACCATCTCTTAAAGGGCTGCCTCGAGTGGAAAAATAACTTGTGGTATATTCATACAGTAGAATTCAATTTAGCCATTAAAATGAATGAATTGGATCATACGCTATGCCAAAATACATAATACTGAGTCTAAAAAGACCAAGATGCAGAATGCTAAGTTTAGACTATTATTTGTCATATAAAAGTTAGAAACTCACAAGTCCGTACTCTGTGTACTATGTGTGTCATGACCAAAAATATGAAAAGTGTGGAAAGGAAAAAATATATAGGAACTGTAAATGAGGGGTGGGGAGTGGGATCAGGGAGGGCTACAAAGGAACTTTAAATGTATTACTTTTCTACATGCCCCAAATATTCTATACTTTTGAAAAAGAGTACTTATCAATTGCTAAGAAAAACTATAAAATTCAAAAATATATATGTGAAAATAACACAAGAAACTCAAAGAAGAAATACACACAAAAAGATCCTTAGCACTCAGAGAAGTTCAGATTAAAAAGAAATGTCAGTCGCCTCTAATACAAGAACTGAAGGACAATCCCCTCTGATGAAAATTGGTGTGAGGTAGTTATGTGGCGCAGGGAATCTTGCGTTTCAGAGAACGCACGGGCATGCAGTGCAAGAGCACCAGGAGATACGAGCTCTCACGTGTGCTTTTTGTCTCTTCATAGTTAAACCCGCACCAATCGTGACGTGACGTGAATCTCAGGGAAAATTTCTCTTTTAGAGAATGTCAAACTTCCAGAAGCAAAGACTTGTGAAAGTAGCCAAGGAGTGTCTCACCCTCATTGTTTCCCAAACAACCATCCTTAAATGTCCCTCAAATAAAACTTCTAATTCTCAAATAGCAGCCAAATCCTCAGACTTTGCTCAGAATACGCAAGTCAATTCATGATCCTGCAAATCAAATCCAGACTTCTGCTGAGACCCACCTCCCACCTCCAGTTCACCCATCAGCGTGTGGGACACACACACACACACACACACACACACACACAAACACACACACACACACACAGCCTAGAGTTCACTTGTGGCTTTTTGTTTTTAAAGTCTTGTCAATCAAGATAGGGTTCTGTCTTCTGTGAAGGAACTGCTTCTTATACACCAGGGACTGAGGGGAACCCCCAGCAACTGTCATCAACACTTGTTTTTTTCCATCTGTTTGCCAAGAGACTGGTGGGGGCATCGGTGGAACAGAGATGTTGAAACGGTGGGAGGCATTTTTTATTTTTGTTTTTGTGTTTTCACAAGGGACTCCTAAATATATTGAATTGCTAGCTCTTCTCAGTTTCTGAAGCTGTTTCTTTCAGACTCCAGTCTGTGAAGGCTTTTTATTTACCACCACCCCAGCTCCTCCATGGTGGCTGAGAAGAGAGACAGCAAAGAAAAAGCTGTGCTTCCTTTCAGAGTCCAAATATTTGAGTTCAGGAGTAAACAAAGATGTGTTTGTGTGACAGTTCTCACCAACTCTTGCCTAGTGGTAACTTCAAATTAAAATGAAAGGGAAATTGGCAGTTTGTATGTTCAAAGATGTTTAAGAGAATGCCTAGAATCTACTGATTTTTTGTGGTGGGGTTGTGAAAGTGGGAGAAACTCTCCCCCAACCCAGAAAGGTTGGAGGGAGGACTTAGGGTAAGAAGGTTAGACGGAGTCAGCCTGAGCTCAGGTGGGCTGAACCATGATCTCAGAGCAAGCATTTTACTTGTCTGAAGCCAGTTTGGCTCAGGTAAGGGCACCAGAGGCTGCACTGGGTGCCTGTGTCGTACTAAGGACTTTCCATGCATTCGATCTTCCCAAACACCTAAGATGAAGACAGCATCCCCACTCTCACACTACAGTCCAAAAGACAGAGGCTCAGAGAGATTCCATTACTTACTCGAGACCACACAGCTAGAAAGTGACAGAGCTGGACTCTTACCAGGCATTCTAGTTAGAAGCCACCCGTAAGTTCCTATGCTCTAGTCAAGTGCCAAATTCTGGATTGGAAACCAGATGGGAAGAGAGGACAAGAGCGTTAAGCTGACTGCTCTTGGTGAATCACTCCCAGGTGTCTTGCAGTGCAGAGCTGGGATTTGGCCCTGAAGGGAGGAGCTGCGGGTTGCTGGGCTGAGCTAACTCAAAGAGCTAACGCTCTTCCCTGGGTCCTCACACTGTCCCTTGGGGCCTCACAGGAATGGACAGGCTCAGCTGAACTCAAGGTAGGTACATGAAAAACCATCTGCTATATATTCAGGAATATCTTAAACATAGTACTTTTATCTTGGAATAGTTTTAGATTTACAGAAAAATTACAAATGTAGTACAGACAGTTCCCATGTATTCTACATGCAGTATCTTCTACTATCCACATCTCACATCAGTGTGATGGCTTTCATAATGAATAAACCCATATCGTTACATTGTTATTAGGTTAAAGAAGTTCTATGCTTTATTCAGTTTCATTAGTTTTACCCAATCCCCTCTTCTGATCCAGCATTCCATTCTGGGTACTACAATACATTTTTTGTTACTATTTTTCTTTTGACTACAGCAATTTTTCTTTTATTTTATTTTCTGACTTTTTTTGGCTTTTTGAGACAGGATCTCACTATGAATTTGTAGCAATCCTCCTGCCTCTGCCTTCTGAGTTTTGGGACAATTTTTTAGATTTATTTATCTTTGGTAACCATGACAGTTTTGAGGAATGCTGGTCAGTATTCTGTAGGATTTCTGTCAACAGAGATTTATATTTTTCTCATCATTCGACTTGTGTCACATGTTTAAGAGGTGAAGACCCCAGAGGCAAGGAAGTAGCACCATCACTTCGTGTCAAGGGAACAGGCACCACTGTGACCACACTGCATGCTTTCAAAGGATATCATTAAGCACAGCCCCACACTTCAGGAAAATAATCAGGAATTGTATCAGCCGCTTATTAACCCTTTGGTGGCTTGAAATCCACCATGGCAGGATTTTAGCTCTTGAAAACCAGCCAACTCTACAAATCTGGGCTAATGTGGAGTGGTGGCTTTCTGGCCCACTCTGGATGTGTGGCTTGCACTGACTCCCAGGAGATGAGCATGGACATGTGGGAGGGCTTTTGGACCAAGGGGCACATAGGATGCAGGTAAAAGCTGGGGGCAGGAGTGGGTGTGCTGTGCTTGGAGGACATGAATTTAGGTAAAAGAGGCCTGGGAGACATGCAAATCTTTGGAAACCTGGAAGAAACTGTTCTCAAAAGGCTTAAATTTAATTAGAACTGGGGCTTGCTGGATCTACTTTTGTTTTTTTCCCTTTTCATAGTAGTATTAACCACCCTTTATTGAGCACCACCTGTGTATGGGTGCTTTTAGTGTATATAGTTCCATCTAATCTTCACAGAGTGTGTTTAAGTGAGGTGACGACTTGATTAGCTTGGGACCCATATGGGGGAGCACACTTCTAGGTGTGTCATGGAGGTGTGACCTGGGATGCTGTATGTGCCACTAGTCTGCTTTCTCATGGCACTGTATCCCTTCTCTGCTTCTCAGGAACCACATTTCCTGCCACATCCCTCCACTGTGAGGTCCTGCCTTGGAGCCAGCTGACCATGGACTAAACCCTCCTAAAATGTGAGCTACATTAAATCTTGCCACCTTCAACTTGTGGGTATCGGATATGGTGTCCAGCAGCAAGAAAGCTAATATGCAGACCTACAATGCATGGATTGTTATCCTCATTTTGTGGATAGTAAC